TGCGAGGAGGAGGAGCAGGAGACAGAAAGGAGAAGAGAGGTTGTGGGGACAGCCTGTGGACCCCAGGAGCAGAGAGGAGATGATAAACAACAACAACAACAAGCAGCAGCAGCAGCAGCAGCAGCAGCAACGCAGCATCTGGGATGAGCCCGTCAAATTCAGCACCAAGACCAAAGACTCCTGTTCCATGGTGGTGTCTGGAGCTGGGGACTATACCCGCCTGCGTGTCTCCTGCAAAGGTCCGAGCCAGGGCCAGACCCCAGGACGCTCCTACTACTGCGACTTCCAGGGCAAACCCAACCTGTGCCGCGCCTACAACCTCAACCCTCGCCACTTCTTCACCCAGATGATGTGGGACATGAGAAAGCTGAGCCACGCCTGCCAGGGACCCAAAGTCTACCGCCCACAGATGTGTAAGAAATACCCCGACGAGGCCCAGATGACTTTCTTGGCCTCCTGGCCCAAGACCACCACCCCTAAGCCCTCCAAGCCCGTCCAGGAGCCGCGTAAACCGGTGGTGCCCGCCCCGGCAAAGCCCGTCACTACTCCTAAACCCGTCAAGCCCCAGCCACAGCCTGTCAAACCCCAGCCAGGCAAGGGCCCCCAGACCAAGAAGACTACTCCCAAGCCTGGGAAGACCACTACTCGTCCCACAGAGCAGACTGATTCCAAAGTATCCCGCCTCGCCAGCGAGTACTGCTGGAAGAGTTTCCACGGTGTCTGCTCCTACTTCATCAGCTGGTTCCAAAACTGAGATGATACTGCTGACACAGGTGAGTGATGGAAAAATGTAAAAGAAGGAAGGAGAGAGAAAGTTGGTAGCACGAAGTTTGGGTTGAAAAGTTAGAATTTAAAGTGAGAGTAGGACAAATATTTGAGGTTGTTTTGGTGTTGATGGATTAAACTGAAAACCACTGTGAAGCCAGAAATCATCAGTAGTGGAAGATAAAAAGATATCAATATAAACACTGTCAATAAATTCAACTCCAAATAAAACTGTCTCTCTTCGCAAGAGAAACCAACTTTTATCTTGAATTAATCACAAAATCTCTTTTTTTTATTGTTTCAGGTTGGAAACACCAGCGATGGACCCAGTCAGAACTCTTCTCGTCCATCTTTGACCTCTCCGGGATCTGCGTGGGAGCCTCTGAAGTTCGCCTTGTGAGGTCCGACTCCCCCACGCTGCAGCATCTTACATACTGAGCCAAAAACACTCGACCTGCACCTGTATATGGTTAGCAGATGACTGCATGTGCTGTCGTGTAGTAAACATGTCTTTTTTTTTTTTTTTTAATCTGTAAAACACAGCAAGGCAAAGGGAAAAAAATGGCAGGCATGTGATTCTGTTTGTATATGATGTAAACTTCCCTCCTCTTGTCACATAAATGTTTCAACAACATGTAAGAAAATGTGAAGAGAATAAAGTCAGAGTGGTGACATCTTCTTCTGCTTCTTCTGTGTCGCCCTGTTTCTTCTACTAAGGTGAAACAAGCAGCAAAGTTTTTCACACTCATTCATTCAAAAAGGGGGTTCCTTGTGTGTTTTTCATCGCCGGCTGTAACAACAATGTCTGCTGCCTGGCTGAGGAAGTTGTTAACGGACAGACACAGTCAGAGTGAACCCAGACCACAGTAAAGATAATACAGCTCAGTCACAGAAGGCATCTGAGCAGAACTCAACACTTCTTTGTACGAGCCGATGAATTGAGTCTTAAGAGCTACCGTGTGCGGGAACAGAAGGGGGTCTGTGTGGGCGGAAACCGATGGCGGCAGCACTGGTTTTGTTTCCCTACACTATACACACACACACACACACACACACACAGTAGTAGTAGAGTAAGATGCTGCAAATCTCCTCATAAACACACAATTCTTGTAGTTTTCAATTAATTTTAACTTATAGTGTAGCTGCAAAAAACATGTCAGGGATGAAAAAATAAAACCTTCAGTCTTGGTTGAAAACAATTTTGATCATTTTAATACCTTCAGTAAAGAGCTGCAACAAGCTGATACACAATAAACAGTATGTGATACTGCAAGGGTTTTAACCTTAAAGGACCAGTGTGTAGGATTTAGTAACATCTAGCGGCGAAGCTGCAGATTGCAAACATTTGAATGCAGCTCAGTCTTCCAAGAGTGTGGGAGAAACTACGGTGGCTGCAGAACTCACACACACACTTATCTAGAGTCAGTGTTTGTGCGACCTGCTGCTTCGGTAGATAAAAACGACTCATTCTAAGGTAACAAAAACACAATGATTCTCATTTTCAGGTGATTATAGACTAATGAAAACTTACCTATGAATGTTATATTCTATTTCTGCCAGTAGATCCTCTTAAATGTTTCACACTGGACCTTTAAAGCTTCTTATGTGGAAGCAAAAGGAGAAAACTGGATGTTTAACCCAAATAATTTAACACAATAACTGCAGGAAGTTTGTGTAAAATTAGCGATTTGGATGAATTTTGAGCAGATTATTTGCTGTGAATATTGATCAGAGTTTTCTTTTTTTTAGGGAACTTTTTAAACCATTCTCTGTCTGTATAATACTTGTAATACTATTTTTAACAATCATACAAACCTAATTGGCTTCTTTGGACAAATTCAGAATATAGTGAACATAGGTGTACTACTGTGTAGACATATAACGTCTCCTGTGGCCATTAACACGCTGCTTCATTGGTCTGTATTATTCAGTCAAACTCTGGCAACCACAAGATGGTGCTGTGCTGAACAGAGAGGAAGAGCTCTCTCTGTCACACACACACACACACACACACACACACACACACCCTATTATCAAGAGCAAACATGTTACTAATGCTACAATCCAGTATCTGGCCTACAGGCATGTTGACCACTGAGTGTGTGAAACAGTCAGTATTACAGACAGGAAGCCACTCCTCAACCGTGCCCACCCTCAATTCAACAGCTCATTAATGACAACTGGGTGGCACGTTTGAAAATTATGTTTTTATATCAATTCTACATAAGTTATACTCACTCTCCTTTTTTACTCCCACAGTATTACAGTACTTTAATTATGTACACACACACACACACACACACACACACAAAACAGCCACTAAACCATTTAAAGCACACAAGTTATTGGTGTGCAGGCGTTCACTAACACAACCACACTCACAACAGAGTCTTTGTCTCTTTATAAATAACAGTTCAGATACATTTTGGGATTGTTGGAGTGGTCACTCACAGAGTTTTCATCTTTTTAACAGTTCAGTGCCCAGAGTGACTTCTTCATTTAGTAGCAGTTCTGGAGCTTTTGATTTGATGTCTGAGATCTTCATCAGCAGGTGGAGTTTGTCATGGACACGTTAACATTTGAATTTGTTTTGAGCACTTTAAAGTGGCTATAATCGATATTTTTTACAATAACAACGGCTCAAGTGACAATGTGAAGTGGGTCTCTCATAGTGAGTCAACATACAGAGAATTATTACCGCCTGAATACGCAGCTCTCTCGGCTTTATGGAGCTTTATAGTGAGATCTTTCTCCGCTGTCTGGCCATCACTTTCACTGTTTTGGTTCACTCTCATCGCTCTCCTGGTGTCTCTGGTTTTGGCCAACAGGTGTTTCCAGTAAAAAAAAGCTCTAAAAACTCACTGTCCACTACCTGCTCAGCACCAGCGTTAGTAAGTAGCTGGTGAACACTGTGGAGCATTTAGCAGCTAAAGAGCACATATTTCTCTGAGGAAGTCAGTGGAGACCAAAAAAAGAGCTAAAAGAGAGTGAATATTGGATATTCATCAGAGTGGCTAAAAAACACGTCTCTGAATAAAAGATTATTGCTCCAAATCTGATGGATGTATAAAGATCAAGAAAATGTATTTATCGTCATACTAAACAAGGTTGTACAACAAAATTAAACTTAAGCTGTCCCTTCATGCGACACACAAAGAAAAAGATAATTAAATGTATAGTAGAATAACAAATATGTACAAGTATACACCCAGGAAATATAATATAGAATAATGTTAATTAATGTTAATTTGAGTCTTTAAAAGAATCAATGTTAAATAAAGGCATTTTAATTCTGCAAAAACCCTACAGTGATTACTGAGACCATATTTTACCCGTGCAATGAGCCCTTCTCAAGAGAGGATAAGCACAATATTGTATCCAAAGAGCACCAGTATGTGATCACCATTAAGACCCAGAAGCACTTCTACTTCATTATCTTCACTCTCAAATTGCATGTTTTGTCCAACCAACAGTCCAAACACAATAATATTTAGTTAAGATGATTTAAAACGGAGGAATGTGGATGACTTTTTATAGATATTACGATTAAGATGTGATTCATGATTATTGGGAAAGATCATTTTTGCATCCCTATTTTCATTTGTTGGGGTCTAAAAACAAAACAGTTTTCTTATATCATTGTAGAACAGGATTTTGTAATGTCTCATGCAGCACCAAAGTACTTTCATTAAATTGCACTTGCACCTGATAAATAACTTATAATTAGTTATATACGTATCCCGGACTACACCTACACACTTAAAACAGGTTTAAAAGCCCACCCTGAATCTAAATTATAGCTTCCGCTCTCTGTTTTAACTGATCCCGGTGTACATTATCACGCTGGTGGATCTCCTTTTGATCAAAATCTGGAGGAGCCAGAAGGTAAAAGAAATAAACCCACATGATGGCTATTAGAGGTGGAGGGGAAGCAGCTGATTCTTGAAGCACAGACTTTTTTTGGATGGTATCCTCATTTCCGTCTTCACCCTTGACCTCTAACCTCTAACTACTTCCTCCTTTCCTGGAATGTGTGTTTGAGCTGTGGAGGAGGAGTCGGTAAAACAATATGTCTGCAAAAAAATCCCCTTTTGTGCCATCAAAGAGTCAGTTAAAAGGTGGAAATCACTCTCCGGTCGGCTGTCTTAAGTGTCTGACAGTGGGGACAAAGAGCTGCAGGTCAGAGGTGACGAGGGTCAAGAGCAGACAGGAAAGCATAAAAATCCACATCTGGGGTTGCACTCGTTTACGGATAACACATTAAACATACACTCACGTGCACACGCAGCTGGATCATAGCAGCAATCTTCCTACACACACATATGTATATAAATATATGTATATAAATGGCAGCTGGTTGCTGTCACTGAGAAAGTAATTAGAGACTGCTGCAGGAAGCTGGAGGAACAAGCCTTATATCTGGATCGCAATGTACAATCACTCCGCTTGTGTGTATGAAAAAGAAAGAGTCTTTCATCATGAGTGTGTGGTACTTTAACCTGAGGGCATGTCAGCGGTGGGTGGGAAGAGTAAGTAGTGTGATTCACACACAGTTTGGGGATTTTTCCCTCTGAATACTGTAAGCTGATCGACGTATCAAGTAAATTTACTGTATTATTAACCCATAAAAGTCTCAAAAAAACTGTGTAACCATCATGCTTTGCAAATATAAGTGTTGGAGGACTTCCTCCTGGCAACACTGTTGAATGCAACTCATAACTTCTATTGTATTACAGTATAAAAAGGACAGACTGTACCTGACTAATGCTACGTTCGCACTGCAAAGCTTAACGCTCAGATCTGATTTATTTTTGTTCATTTGTGACCATTTGTGATAAATATCACATGAATTCTGATATGAGTGTTCACACTGAGCTCACATCAGACCTGTATCTGATAGGGACCACATGAGAAAGAATCAAAAGATCAGATTATGTGATTTGTGTTGTTCACACCGTCCTGAAAAGTCAGAATTGGGCTGATTTCTCAGCTTAAATGAAGAAAAATTACTTAATTCTCATAAGATCTTTAAAAAAAAGTTGATTTATGTTGGTTGCAAACAGGTTGTTTAAGATTTTTAAGACTCAATATGAGAAAAAAATATTTTTTTGTGGTTTATTGAACACAGAGATAAAGTTCATACGTCATTCTCACTATTAAAAGTCATATGTTTCATATTCTTCAAGGCAACAGGACACATTATATAAATAGAAAATATTTATTTGTGGTGCATAAATACAATACAGTGGAGTGTACATGGTTGACTGACAAAGCTGACCAGAGGTAAAATAAAGTACCACTCTACTATAATAATCAATCTTCAATTCTTTGTGATAAACAGTGTTCAGGTTGCTTGAATAAAACAATACCACACTGAAAAAAATACTCTATTACAAATAAAAAACAGTCACATTTTCAGTTTACTGTCTTTAAATTAGACATTTTTCTCAAGATTCAAGATTGAAAGTGTTGAAATATACTTTTTTTTTTGGTTTCCGTGTTTGTATCTGTGCTGCAGTGTAATATAATGGTATCATGTATTGTGCTTCACTTTAATGTTTGTTCATTAAAAGGTTTAAAAGTCAAACAGAAGTCAAGGAAAAGTAGATTTTTCAAAACAATTGTACCTATTGGATAATTAGTAAGTCATTGATGTGTGAGCAGCAGTTCATTGTGGAGATAATCTGTAACAATAAATCATATTTTATAATCTGGATGGACATTTAAACAGTAACAACTGCCTGATAAATGTAGTGAAGTATAAAGTAGCATCAATCTGAAGTACCAGTGCCTCAAAACTGTACTGAAGACAGTAAACTGGTGATAAATTACTACATTTAATGGACATAAAACATCTTCAGTTCAGATTGTCACATTCAAAACACCTGATAATATCCAGCAGGAGTACACATGTCATGTTGGTGTGTGTGTGTGTGTGTGTGTGTGTGTGTGTACAATCTGTAAAAATGCACACTGTGGAGAGAATATCGGATTATTATTATTGATTAAGGATCGTTACATTTGTTGAGTCCTAATTTAAAGTCTGATCATGTCCACGTCCGCTCCTCTGAAACTAACAGTCGTCACTTTGCAGCATGGAGAAAAAGAAAGAGCACAGGCTGGCCCACGAGCTGCTGCAGTGCTCTTCGGCCTTTCTCCGGTGGTCCGCGCGCGTGCAGGCGGTCGGACCGGCGGGAGCGGGAGCGGCGGAGGCGGAGGAGGAGGAGGAGGAGGAGGTGGAGAGAGGTAGCGGCGGAGTGTCACCGGACTGCGCTGCGGAAACGGAGCTGCTGACGTCCAGCTTGAAGTGCGCATCCCGGGGCGCGCGCTTACACATGCCAGCCCTCACCAGCGCGCGCTCATCCCTGCACACTTTGCCCTGCAGCCTTTTGAGCGCGCGGGCCACCTGTTTCCAGAAGCCCTTGGGGTCGGACTGGTAGCCCGGGCAGCGCTCAGGTTTGGCGTTGTACTGACACTCCAGATCGGTGACTCCGCCTTTGACGCGCGCCTCCCGGTTCTCGCATTTGACCGACATCCTTACCGCGTCCGCGACGTCTTTCGCCACCCACGTGCACTGCATCTTATCCTTGGTGGAGAACTTTCCCCGGCCGGTCGCTGCGGACTTGTCCCCGCTCCTCTGCGCTCTGTCGGGGGCCGGGGTCACGGTCTTGTCTGCTCCTCGGTTCTTATTGCGCGCACCGGAGGACGGAGAGACCTGCTGCCCGAGGAAGGCCAACAGCAGCCAGGGAGCGAAAGTCCTCAGCAGCAACATATCTTCTTATAGCAGAGGATGTATATTATCTGCAAGGACAGACGATGGTTAAAAAAAGACAGGGTTCAGAGCCTCAGTGCCGGAGATAATCAGATCATAGGGCGCAAAACAGTGTTTAAAAGTTCCAGAAAAATAAGAATATTTACTATTACGCATGAAAAATTGTATTTTAAAGTCTACAGTGAAAGGTAACGAGGCCACACAGTATACTGCACATACAGCACATACAAGAAAGTCACATATACCGAGTCCAGCTTACCAAAAATGACAAGTGTCGCCGTGCGTAAAGCTGCAGCCTTGTGCCTCTCTGTGGTCGCGCACATGGCTTTCATACACAGATGCTGCGGCACGCCCACCACACCCGCCCAACAATACTCACGCACGCACCTCAAAGCAAATCCATTGAGAAGAAATCTTGGCAGTAGTTTCTTTTGGGAGGAAGGGAATGTGTTTTGTTCTGGCGTGATCCGACGTGCCCAAAACTGAACTCCCGCCCTTCAACGGGGAGATCAAACAGACTGTAAAGCGACGCGGATGATGGATCTACAGAGCGCGTTCAATCTAAGGAGGTTAAAGGAGACCTGATAACCACATTGTACCCGCACCTCACGCGCGTATACGCACACACTCACAGTCTTGGAGGCTCGACTATGACTTTCCACCAATCCGCTGCTTCATCCAACCATGAGGAGATCCTCTCTTTCAACTCTTTTCCGGGCATGTGGTTTGACTTGTGTTGCCAGAGCGGATAAAAGATTATAACAATACAGTCTGCTGATGTAAAGTGTGAACTGATCGTTAATCATGTGTTAACATATACTTTATTTATGGAAGATTTAAAATGCTGAAAACAAAACCAAATAAAGAAAGTGAAATTACACATTGTTATATGTATTTATTTATTAAACTGAAGCCTTTTTGTGTTTTATAAATATAATTGTTAACATTGACTCGTTTACTGCTTTAAGAATATTTGATTATTTATGATGTTTCAGTCAGTGCAATCTACATTAGGTACTTGAAAATAATTTTAAAGTTAGTTAGTTAAGTATAGTTTCTTTTTGTGACATTTATTTTTTACACATTAAAGTCAAACCAGACCAGAGAAAACAGAGATAAGTGTAAGTCAACAGTAGAGTCTCAACCCTCTGCCCATGATTCTATGTCTATGTCTATGCTGTGAGTTGGATAGTTAATCATTTTTTATTATAACATGAATGATGTGTCTCCATTTCAAACTTAGCTGACTGAGGTCAGATTTTGCCATGACGATGATGTGAGCCAGCATCAGATTGATGGCAAACATTTATATGATGATGATGATGATGATGATGATGATGATGATCCTCTCCTAAAGGATCCCAACCAGCTAAAATATTGTGGCATCACTCCACCTACAACGAGCAGTCCTCAGTGATCCTGCTGAGTATTCAAGACACTTAAACTGGTTTTATTTGTTTTTATTTAGGTGATTTAAAACTTCCATAACATCTGATTGTCCATTTTATACTTTACACTTCTTGACCTTCTTGACCTTGGAAACCAAACAATGTGACCACAAGCTCCATTCAGTGTCTGTCTCTAGAGCTTTTGATCGTACCACATGATCTTCTACAGCAGATCCAGTTTGAATTAACTTTCAGTCTCAACTTTTAATCAAACGTAGACGAGAAAAAAGGAGGTTTGAAGATCTATAAATTTATTGCAACTTATCTTCTGGGGAAGATCATGTGATGCAATTAAAAGCTCCAGAACAGCCACTAAATGCACCTTCTGGTAACATTATTTTGTCATGCTATTACAGTTGATGTCGTGCCTGACAGAGTCCATTTATATTCATTAAGACTGCTCTATAGGAAAGTGTTCACATATATTCTTCTGTAAACAAATTCAAATTAAATCTTTTCAATGGTTCTTATGGTTTGGAAGGATCTATATCTTGGAAAAGCCTTAAAATAACTGTTAAATTACATATGTACATAGTCTATAAAGGTTGTTGAGTTATTAAACGTCTGTTCTCTGATGGGACTACAGTGGCTGTGTCATTTGTTGTCGGCGCTGACATTGAACACATCCTGACTGCCTTTGTTCTGTCTCACACTGTTATCTATCCAACAGTAACACATTTACCAGATGTCAGCTCCCTCTTTCCCCATAAACTCTCAGTCGGTGCTTCTTACTCCTTTGATATCCTGACATAGACGCAGTGAGTGTCTTTATGTACTCAACTCAGAACAAAAGCCATCATCATACTTGGCAGCCTCAGTTTCATACAGTCTGTTTATTATAACAACCACTGCCAGTTCCTCTAATAGACCCCAGCCTTTAATAAATCTCTGGAGGTTAATTTTGGTTGTTTTTTGCAGACTTTCTATGATTTCATTTTGCTGCTCTGTAGCTTTTTAAATATCTCAAACTGCACATACATGGGATCTGTATTCTCAGCACAAACTCAGTTAAAAGTCTGACTCATCATTTTGCAGTATAAAGTGGGCAGGAACTCAATATACAAGAAAAAACTGACCATATAAAAAGGCCCAAAACCTCCTGATAAAGACTCAATATATCACTAAAGTGATGAAGCTTTAAAAACTATTGTTTCACTTTTTGAACACACAAATAAGACAGAAAACTGTAAGAAATAAAACTATAATACAGTTTATTTACATGTAAAGTGATTTTTATCCCAACTGGTTTTCATTGAAAGTCAGTGTGATTGTAAATCACTGAAAATGTTAATGGATAAAAGTTTTAAAAAGACTTTCAAAGATATGTTTACAGGCATGAATGAGACACATAAAAGGTACTTTCAAATGGTTTTGTCAGCTTTTCTCAACACCATGTATAAATAAAGTTAGGTAACGATAAATTATGATAAAAAAACATGCTCAGTTACTCCACAGAGACTCATGAACTGGTGGATTTCTCTCACTTGTCAAACGCAGGTGTAACTAATATCATTACTCCAGTCCATTCAGGTGTTCCAGTTCAAAGATCCTACTGATGTTATTAGTTAAACACAGTGCTTTTGTTGCAATGACAAGTCAAAATGTCTGCTGTGTTAAAGGTCTACCAGCCTCAATTTAATCAATATATTTCCTTATAGCGTTTCTTTAACCACTCTTTTTGAAAAGTCTACAGGGGGTTTGTCCTAAGCTGAATGGATTCTACCTCTAGTACAATGTTTCTCAAACTTTTAACACCAACTCTTAAAATATCCGGCTCTCCAAGTACCAAACTTAATGACCGACGTTAAAATACAGCATCGTAGGTCCACTCTATTCAACTACAGGTTTATTATGAATACAAGATCATTTATTCTCGATTCTTGATCAAGGACCACAGCTATTTTGGTGGAAAAGGGGCCCTCCTGATTCACACTTCTCTTCCCAATAGTTCCTGTTTGAAGCCACGATTTCAGTGTTTTTAAACTATTAATTTAACTTCCATTTACTATATTGCCATCACATTTTAGCTCGTAACTAATCATGGATGAATGCGTGCACTTGCATTAACGTGAGTACGTAGCAGGTTGATGTTGGAAGAAAATACTACAGGAAAGGCAAAACTTCTCTTAAATTACAGTTTGTTTATTTGTTATTATTATATGTTTTTTGTTTAAAAAATATATTTCAGAGATTCATTCATGTAACACAAGAGATAGTTTGCGTACCAGCAAGTGTACCACAGTTTGAGAACCACTTCTTTAGCAGAAATCATGGACTGTTCATATTATAGGCAAAACCAAGGATATGTGCTGACAGAATAACAGAAAAACACTACTAAAAAATAAATAAACGTACACTTGTTGGATGTAAGAACAAAAAACGACTTTAAATTGATGCAAAAAGTGTTCAAATGTGTAAATCACAGCATTAAAAAGAGGCTGTAGGAGTTTAATTCAACACCACAAAGCCACAACACAAGCCAATATATAGATACAAGTCTTTAAACCGTTCTGAACACTGAATGGAAAGAACTTTACTAAATTATACATTCATAACTTGACATGAAGTTGACCTAGATATCACTTACAGCACACCACTGATTCTACTTGAGACTAAGTTATTAAATCCACCCCACCCTGTCATCACATTTCACTCCTGCAGGTAGGAACAAAGACATCATGGTAGCAAGAAAGTAACCTTATAAGGCTCCTCTGGGCACACGTCCAATAATCTCACAAGTTATAGTAGTTTATCTCTTAGTCACTTGACGGAAACAGTAGTAGAGGACTTACTGTAAGTAAATAGTAGGGAGGCTGTGTATGTATGTGTGTGTGTGTGTGTGTGTGTGTGTGTGTGTTTCCTGTCTCTATCATTAGTAGGTGTTTTCAGTGGAATTTGCTTGTAGACGGTGCCAACTCTGTACAGTATGTATCAAGATAATCAACCACATTCAAGCTCACAGTGAAACACAAACAACACACATTAAATGTAAAAACCGCAGCGTCACTGTAGATAAAGATCAGAGAGGGAAAGTAAAGTAAGTAAAAAGATCTTTATCATTATTGTAAGTGAGCGTTTGGGAGTGTTTTGTTGGTGTTACAGGCTCAGTGTTGGGCTGGTTACTCCAAAAAAGTGATTTATTTCTCATTATTCACCAGTCTTTTCAAAAATAATCTTTATTACCTGCCAACAGTAATTAGTTACACTATTAGTTATATTACTTTTTTGCTACTTCCCACAAAATTGGTAGTTGTGCTCCTTCTCCCTAAAATTCAGACTTAAGACAACTGAAATCTAGTTCAGTCGGACAACTCACGTTTGAAATGTTTATTAAAGCAGTAGATTTTGGCGTCTAGGCACCGACCTCATCACTCCCCGCAGATATGTTTACATAAAATATTGGGGAGGGATGAACAAATAACTTAAACCCCTAGCTGGATCCTACAGGTGGATGCTGGGGTGGTGGTGGGGCTTACAGCGCAGCAAGCAGCAATACGGATACAGGCCACAGTTACAAAAACTAATCTCAAGGATGTGATTCAGTGAATCAGTAGGGGGGTGACAACAAAAGTAATATTTTAACCAAGTATTTTTAGTTGGTAACTGTAATCAAGACTGTATCTGCTCTGTAGGGTTAGCTATTCAAAAGTGATAATAAAGTGTTCACAATCATTATTTGTCAGTTAACACAGATGGACAATGATGATCTTATATATTTTCATACTTAACAAAAAAAAGCAAACAAATTTTTCTCTACAGTTTATATAATCTCTGTTGTTCTCAGCCAAACAACAATTAAAGGAGGCACCTTTTAATTTTGCCATTATTTTGCGTCAAACAAAATGCATTTTTTTTATATGCATTATTTTAATTGTCTATGAACGGGCAGTTTAAATTCATAGGAAGCAACTAGAAAAACTAATTAAAAAAATAACAATCCTGCAGGCCAGATAATGTTATATGTTTGACATCACGTCGCTGGCCAGAGGGGACAGCGAAGGAGGGCCGGCAGTTTGAGACCTCTGTCTAGGGCCAAATTTATTATCTTCAGAGGTCAGTCAATCTGCAAAAACATTAAATAGTTCAGATGCAGATTCATAATTTCCTAGTTTCTAATGTATAGACGCAGGGCAATGTACTCTGCCTATGATCATAACATTCATTTTGGTATACTATACATATATTATATTCATTTTGGAGGCCCTGAAAGCCAAAATACTTAAGATATATACAAAATAAGTGAATAATTATTGAAGGAGTGAGGATCAAGGAAGTAACATATCATGAATCGCACTGAGCTCTCAGTCAGTCGGTTTTAGAGAGATTCAGAGACGTTGGGAAGGTGTTGGGGGGGTGAGGGGGGTTTCCAATGGAGCATACTGACGCCTTTACTATCTCCTCTCCTTCCTGTCATCTCACTAGTGTCTAATTTCAAATAAACAATAAAAAAAGGAGCCAAAACTGATGTAATTTCAGTTATTTTCAGGTACTTTTTGGCCCCTTCACAGCCACAAAAAACCTTATACTGCAGTTCCCACGTGTCGAACAGCACTCCCCATGAGTAATTGACTCTGACATGTGAAGCTGGTGCCCCTTTAATGTCACATTGTACAGTTCAGCGTCTTATTACTAAAGACTAAAGGCCAATCAAGACAAACTGCCAGTAATATCTTAAAGAGGTGAGGAAACCCCTGAAGGAAAACACATTAATGTCAATAATCATCAGCTCATCTGAGTCACATTTAGGTATGTGTGTCCTTTTCCTTCTCATATCAGGCATAACAGGTGCACGCATGTCTTGTCTCGTTTCTCCTTTGTCGATGCTTTACAAACTAAACAAAGACCTGTGAAAGCACCAGCTGTTGGCTCACAGACTCAAAAGTATTCACACAACTTCTTTAAAATGCCCTTTTGTGGCTTGTAGACCTTTCGACAATAAGCCTGGTCTCACAAACACTAGATCCAGGTCTTTTTCCTGATGAATGAAACAGGTGAAAACACGTTTATGTGGGCTTTAAGACTCATGGTTGGTTTAGTCTTAATGTCGACATCCTTCTATTACGCATGTAAAGTTTAAGCCTTGATGTCAAAGCAGCTCCTCTTTGATAGATACGGGAAATGATAATGATGGGGGAAAAAAATAAAAAATAAAATAAAATAAAATACCACTGAAAATATAAGATATTGGGGCTTTATTGGATTTACAGTCAAGAGAGACAATAAAAAGTGAGACAATTACAAGGCACAGTCCAATATTTGGACATCATGGTTGCATGATGATCTGGTCTCTCTAAAACAGTGGTTCCCAACAAAGGAGTGGAGTTTCTTCTTGTTTGTTTTATGATTTTTCAAGACTAGTCAATTAATTCACAAGAAAAAAAGCAAATATTAGCAGAAAAATCTGAAAAAAACGTATTTAACCACTAATTATTATTCTTGATTGCACATAGCTTTTTTAGCACAGCCTCAGACGTATGCAAACCTGCATTTCACTACATATATTGTGTGACCATGTGACAAATAAAATTAATTTTGTGCCTCAGAAATGTGTTGTTGTGTTCTGACCCCCTTGTTGAGAATCACAGCCCTAAAAGGTCTCCTGTGACGCCTATTAAAGGTTTTTCTGCAACTCCAGAGCTCCCTGAAGGAGGATCCTGGGATAAGTGCCCCCTCTATACATTAGAGATCTACAGCCCTGATAGATATCACTAATTGATTTCTGAGGTGTTCTGATTACAGTGTCAGTGGTCATCTATCTATCTATCTATCT